GGTTGGCATGCTTTACACCACTGCATCCGATGCTTTGCATTGCACTTGGTGATATAAGGCTTGCATGCAGCCGCTTGGCCATTGAAACCCATTCCATAAGGCTCTCTGCGCACTATAATTGTGCTAATCTGAAGGCCACACGAAGTTTGGAGGTCTTTAGCTATTTCCTCTGCAGACAGTTGGCAACTTCTTTGCCCTGTGCGCTTCAGCATGCGCTGACCCCCCTCTGTCATTTCTTGTGGCTGAGTTACTGTTGTTCCCAGTTGCTTCCACTTTGTTATAATACCACTAACAGTTGAGCATGGAATATTTAGTAGCAAGGACATTTCACAGATGGACTTATTGCACAGGTGGCAACCGATCATGATACCACGCTTGAATTTACTGAGCTCCTGAGAGCGACATTATATATATATATATATATATATATATATATATATATATATATATATATATATATATATATATATATATATATATATATAAATATATATACACACACACACACACACATCATCCGTCATTTCAGGAGGTTACTGTAATGGTCATTTCTTCACGGTATGAGATTTGTTAATTGAAATATGTCCCAGCTTACCCTAGAATTATTACACAACCTTTAAGAGTAATACTTTCTAAAATGAGTTCTTGCAGGAAAATTCTGAACATCCCTTTCCTTTCCCCTGCAGATCTCTAGAGATCAATTACCTAAAATCCTGGTAGTTTTAATTAGTTTGGCCTTTGCAAGAAGCTGACTGCATTGGTACGGAACAGAAAAAAAATTCCCCATCTTAGGCTGGCCATACATTATACAATTTCCTTGAGATTTTTGGTTTAGATTTACCAAAAACAATATACTAGGAGGTCAAACCTAACAACACTTTCAATTGTATCCAATTAGTCAAGCTCTTGCACTACATAGTTGAAGGTAAAGCTAAAGGAAATTGGACAGACAATAGTATAGTGTATGGCTAGCCTTAAAGAAAAAAAGTTACCGTTCAGGCTGCAGCATCATCATCATCATCATCTGCCTCGTCTTACTCTTACCTACATAGACCTCTGATGATCATATTTATTGAGTCCGCAGCAGTTACTATTGTCAGTCTGGTGTCACTGATCTACATTATAGCTTTTTTTTTTTTTTCCAGTTTCTTTTGCCAAATTACTTTTGTTACGAACATTGCTATAACAATGGAAATGTAAAGAAAGATGTCCGATATTTTCACATTTATTTTTTTTCCCCCAGAAACTTTCAGAGTACAGTGCAGTAATGGTATACAGTCTAAGAAATGTATTATTTCATGAAACTGGACAAACATGGAGAATGAGGCAAATTAAAAGATTAAACCTGGAATGTGCAATGCCTGCTGCAATTTAAGGCACGTCAACATGCAATGGGATCGCTCAAAAGCTGATCAGAAGGACTATCATGTTATCCCTGCACTCAACTACATAGTGGAAGAGGGAGAATAAATAGGTAAAAGATGTGTGATCTGTGCTTTAGTTCAGTGGTTGAAGCAATTGCTCCCAGTAAAGATGAACAATTTGAGCTGTAGATCAAATTTACAAATGATTGATTTCATAGGACACTTCTACATACAATTCTAATTTAAAGGCTAACATGAGATAGGCTTCAATAGTGTCTGATTGCAAGAACAGGATTTGTTGCCCATAGAAGTCTGCAAAATTGCTATTGGCAGGACGGAGCTGGTTGTTTTGCTTGACATTGAAGATATGTATTTGTAAAATGTAGACCTTTTAAATCTGTTCCCAATTTGTCTACGATCAATTTATATGTCCATCTTTTTTATTCTGTTGTAAAAATATATATATTTTTTTAAAAAAGTGTTTATGAATTTCATAATTTATATAAATATGAAGCATTCTTCAAAACTAAATACAGTTGTAGTAATTATCAGTACAGTGATTCAGCATTTTTTTTTTCTTTAGTTCTCCCATTGAATAGACACTGGTTTTGTCTCCTACGGTAACTGCTGAAAATTGTTCAATGCTTATCCGGGTCACTGAGAATTCTGGGTCATTTTAATGGAATGTAAAGCTATATTCACACTTCAGGGTCAATTTACATAGCAACACACAGTTAGGGCTCCTTTACATTTGCAGTAGTCGTGGTGGTGGGGCAATAGAACCACGCAGGTGAGGCACAATTCTATTGCCCCCCCCCCAATGGTTCTCCCCTTTAGCTGCAGGGCTAGGGGTGTAGACATGCCATGGCCACAATGCTTTGCTTCATGGGGCTCCACTGCATTTACTATGGCATTTAGGAAGTTAACAGGAGGTGGTGACATATCTCCTCACCATGTCAAAAACAATCCAAACAAAGGACCACTTTTCGGAGGAGCAGCAGTACTTGCTAGTGTAAACAAGCCGTTATGGAGATGAGATCTGAAAATTAGATCATCTAGTTCAAATATATGGACTTCCTTTTCAAATTAACTATGAAACTGGCTAAAATAAAGATCCTCATCCTTGTGCTATTGTGAATTGAGGATTTTGTGTTGTAAAACATGCAGTTAAGTAGGTTTTTGGTGTATTTTATCTGCATGTTCTTGTAGAAAAAAAAAATCATCATGCTGGTAATGTGACAAAATGAAAATGCACTATATTTTATATATTACTACATTCCCTATATTTTAGGGGTCCCCAAAATGACAATGCTGTGTTTTCTATAGCTTCTTACTGACACCATGTGTTGCTAAGGGCTCATGTACACTGCAGCTGATAAACTCACGTTTAGGAGCTGTTCAGTGTTTTTTCAGCAGCCCCTGAACTCTCCCTAATGTTTTCCTATGTGTCCATGTACACACCTTCGTTTACAGCTTTTATAAGCGTTTGCGTCTGAAATTTTTTTTAACTCTTCCAGTTCCCGATGCTGTCCAGAGCCTTTTTTCATCATGAAAAAAGCATGCAAAGCGTTTTCAAGGTACTCAAATGGACAAAACATTGAAAACAGGATGCTCCTACCAAGCTTGTCACACATTGTAATGACCAATTCACAGACCTCTCCCACCCTTGGAAAATATATGTTAATGACCATTCACACCTCCAATTCCTCAGAAGAACCCCTGCCAGGTGGCCTAAATGACTCCCTCCACCAGACACCTTTCCCACCCTTGGAAACAAAAGAAATGTTAATGAACAACTCACACCTAAGCTAATGTCAACACATACTGCGGCCTCTGATTCTACTCTCTGTATTTCTCTGAAACAGTCTGAAATAGTTAATAATTTACCACTTTACAGTACATTCTGGGCATCTGGAAGGTTCTCCTGTGCTTATCTTTAAACGCAAATGTGCATAAACGCGTTATGCAAATGAGGCTAAACAGACGTTCAGAAGCTCCCGTGTACATGGGGCCTAAAACCTAAACATGGGTAACACACATTTTATTAGGCGTTTGGTAACATCTAATCTTGAGGTACTGCAGGGTAGAAATTCTCAATTCCATTCATCAATCCTTCATTATACTGTACATGTATGCACCTGATCATTTTGGGAAAATAAATATTTACACCCTTCGCTCTACCTCCACTGCAATCTATATGAAGCACTATATATAGAGTTATGTGGGTGTGAAGAACTTTGGGTAGGATAGCAGCCTCTTTCCAATCATTCTATCATATGAAAATGCACCGCAAAAGCCTGGTACATTCTATCAAGACATCATGTGAAATTAATACAAAACACTTACAGGAGGGTAATTTGAGTGGTCATTCTGACATTAGCACAGTTTCAAGTAAATCCATGCAAACCAAAGAGAAGGCTCCTCACCATATCACTGCAGAAAAAAAAAATCATTATTAAAAAATTTGTTTAAAAAAGTGTTGAGTGCAGCTGGGGGTGCAGACTGACCTGGAGTGGTGTTGGATGTCTTTAAGTTTTAATGATCATACACTGCAGTGGTGACAAATTTGCTTTTTTTTTTTAAATTACTTGCTTTAAATACAAATGAATTGAATCACTGACAGCCCAAAACATAATAAAATATTCTTTATTATAAAACAATAAAAATACAAAGACCGAGATATAAAAACAGTATTGAAATGTCTGCGTTTAAAATAAAATGCAGCCGTGGCTTGTTTCTACATTCTGTTTTACTGTGAATCTGATTTTGCCACCTGAGCTTGAGCCTTCTGTCCAGCAGTAGAAGCTGCCATTTCCCACCTTCCAGAAGAGACGCTAGTTCCAGGACAAACCACATTTCAGTAGCATTACAGACAGTGATGTGGCCACCCTGGAAAAAGCAGTTTCCATAGATTGGACAATAGCACACCCTACAGTGCTAGGTTGGAGCCTCAAAGTGGTAGGAAAGTCTGTTGTTTACTTGTACCTACAGGTAAGCCTATAATAAGGTGCGCACAATGAAATGTACATGTGTAGCAGCACCGGCACATGCGCTCTATAGGAAAGGCATACCCGTGCTGTTCCTTCAGAGTTATATTGCGTGAACAGTGACTCCCACACGCATGTGCGGGAGTGACTTCATCGCTGCTCGACCATTCAGGCCACCGGAGCCCACAAACCCAGAAGAAGGACCGAGTGAAGATGGAAGGCCCGTGAGTGGTGACCGCGTGCTGCTAGAGGGCTTCATTGTAAGGCAAGTTTCACCTAAGGTGCTGGTATGCGATGCATACCAGCACATTATGACATTGCCTTGCAGGTGAAAAGTTTTTTTTTTTTTCCATTCTCAAGTTTACTACCACTTTAACTGTATCTTGACAGGTTTCCTTTTAACAGTTCTATTTAGTTTGGCAAAAAGAACATTTTGTAAACATAAAAATAAAATTGGTGATAAATATTATACAATAAATTTAAGGCACTCTTCATCACTGCAAGCAGTAAGACAGGTATAGAAATATATAAAACAGAGGAATGGTTGATCCATTTAATCAAATCTGATATCACTTGGGAATTAGGATATCATTCTGCTAGATAGGCCCTAAGATTTGTTTCGCTCTCATTGAGCTGTGGCTGAAGTAGATCAGTCAACGACTTTTATGGAATGGACACTGCCGTGAACTTGGGATACTCGTGTGCTATGCCCAGTGCCTCTGCCACTCATGGAGCTGGAACTCTGTAACGTTGAACGGGGGTATTTTGCTGCTGTGGCCTGAGCGATAGTTTGCTTTAAAAAAACCCAAAAACATTCTTAAAAATAAATATATTAAAGTCATTTGAGGCATGGTCAAGCTGGCTCAAACAAAATAACAGTCTAAGCTTCCAAAACACTTATAGAAGCACAAAAATCCCCCAGATACAGTAACTTCACAATTATTTCACTAGCATCAACATATACATATTTGGGTGCACTCAGAATCTGGATCATCTGTGCATGGCAGCCAATCAGCTTCTATCTTCAGCTTGTTCAATTAGGCTTTGCCAATAAAACCTGGAAGCTGGTTGGTTTCTATGCAGAGTTGCACCAGATTTTGCACTCTCCAGTTTTAGTACATCCCCCCATAGCGTTAACTTATATTTGTATAAAGAAAAAAACTGCACTTTATTAGGACATTAAATCATATTAAAAGCAAGATATGGATCTTTATCTAATATTTATTATTAGCATGCTGTCAGAGCTGTGTTCACACACACATCGTGGTGCAAATATATGCAAAAATATATTCAATCACCACCATCTCAAGAATTCTGTGAACAGCCAAAAGGAGCAGATTTCCACTGTAGTAGTTCTGAATCTGAAAGCCACAGTTCCTACATCTGCAGAGGTCCAAGAGTATAATGAGAGCTGTACCATTTGGCAGGAATGAAAGTATACAGTTGCAAGAAAAAGTATGTGAACCCCTTGGGATTACGTGGAGTTTTGCATGAATTGGGCATAAAATGTGCTCTGAACGTCATCTAAGTCACAACAATAAAAGAACACAGTCTGCTGAACATAATACTACACAAACATTAGATATTGCCATGGTTTAATTGCACATAACATGTAAAGATTCACAGTGCAGGGAGGAAAAAGTATGTGAGGCCCTAGCTTAATGACTTCTCCCAGAGCTAATTGGAGCCAGGAGTGAGCCAACCTTGACTCCAATCAGTGTGATGATATTGGATGTGTTGCTGACAGCTGTCCTGCCCTTAAAAAACACACACCTGTTTTGGGTTTACTGGTTTCAAGAAGCACTGTCTGATGTGAACCATGCCTCGCAGAAAAGAGCTCTCAGAAGACCTACGATCAAGAATTGTTGACTTGCATGAAGCTGGAAAGGGTTACAAAAGTATCTCCAAAAGCCTTGATGTTCATGTGTCCACGGTAAGACAGACTGTCTACAAATGGAGAAAGTTTAACACTGTTGCTACTCTCCCTAGGCGCGGTCGTCCTGTAAAAATGACTGCAAAAGCACAGCGCAGAATGCTGCATGAGGTAAAGAAGAATCCCAGAGTGTCAGCTAAAGACCTACAGAAATCTCTGGCACATGCTAACATTTTTGTTGACACATCTACAATAAGGAAAACATTAAACAGGAATGGAGTACACGGGAGGACACCACGGAGGAAGCCATTGCTGTCCAAAAAAAATATTGCAGCACGTTTGAAGTTTTCAAAAGAGCACCTGGATGTTCCACAGCACTACTGGCAAAATATACTGTGGACAGATGAAACCAAGATTGAGTTGTTTGGGAAGAACACACAACACTATCTGTGGAGAAAAAAAGGCACAGCACACCAACATCAAAACCTCATCCCAACTGTAAAACATGGCGGAGGGAGCATCATGGTTTGGGGCTGCTTTGCTGCCTCAGGGCCTGGACGGATTGTTGTCATTGATGGGAAAATGAATTCCAGAGTTTTATCAAGACATTTTGCAGGAAAACGAACGACCATCTGTCCGCCAACTGAAGCTCCACAGAGGATGGGTGATGCAACAGGACAATGACCCAAAGCATACAAGTAATTCAACAAAACAATGGCTGCAACAGCACAGAATACACCTTCTGGAGTGGCCCAGTCAGAGTCCTGACCTCAACCCGATTGAAATGCTGTGGCATGACCTTAAGAGAGCGATTCACACCAGACATCCCAAGAATATTGCTACACTGAAACAGTTTTGTGAAGAGGAGTGGTCCAAAATTACTCCAGATCGTTGTGCAGGTCTGATCTGCAACTACAGGAAACGTTTGGTTGAGGTTATTTCTGCCAAAGGAGGGTCAACCAGTTATTAAGTCCAAAGGTTCACATACTTTTTTTCCTCCCTGCACTGTGAATGTTTACATGTTGTGTGCAATTAAACCATGGCAACATCTAATGTTTGTGTAGTATTATGTTCAGCAGACTGTGTTCTTCTATTGTTGTGACTTAGATGACGTTCAGAGCACATTTTTTTTGCCCAATTCATGCAAAACTCCACGTAATCCCAAGGGGTTCACATACTTTTTCTTGCAACTGTACATTTAAATGAAAATGCAAAGATCCTTATGTAGGGTACACCTGAGAATTTTTTTTCATTCAACCTAGAAGGCTGATCAGCATACTAATGCAAGACATGTTGCTGTGGTGATCTCCCCTGCTGTGCTATTGTGCTCTGACAGTGGAATTGCCCCCCTGCCAGAATACACTGATCAGTGCTGGCATCCATTGGCTGCCAGCGCTGATCGGACGCTGGTTTTCTAGCATGACTATTCGTTGTGAGACCAGCTTCTGATGGACAGAGAACTGTAAACAGGTTCCTGCCAAACCAACTGTTTCTGGCCAATTTTCAGCCCATGTGTACCCAGCTTTACTTGGCATACACCTCAGCAGAGGTAACCATTCCCCAAAATTTGTAAAAACGTCTCTCTCTCTGGAGTTCTGCATTAGCTGTGCTGGATAAACACTACTAGAGACTAAAGTGCTCAAGACTGTAGATGGCCACAGACAGACATGACAGCATCCCCTCCCTCTCTGTGACCCTCTCTGTGAGAATTTGGCACCAGCAATCATCTGACCAGAAAGGATTGCTGTCTTGTTGGGAAATCGGTTTGCTCATGTGACAGGGTATCCTTATTTTGTGATTGTTTTAGCACACTATAGACAGACTATTGTGAAAGCTTGCATAATCCTTATCAGATCAAGTGATAATTTCTCCATGTAAAAGTATCTACAAATCAGATTACCTGAGTAACCGGATGATGTTTCTCAACCACAATGGAGCTCATTGGTGGGGACACCCCCATAGAGGTGATGTTGGTCCCAGTCTTACTGATCTTCTGTGTTAGATCTGAGCGTGCAGTCACTCGGGCTGTTATAGTCCTTCCAGCTTTCTGCTGTGCTGATGTTACAACTCTTGTCATTGGCTGAAAAATAAAACCATACAATGTCATATTTACATGGTATGTCAGAACAGCAATGCTACAATTTCCACTACAAAGCAATAAATAGCTTTATTTGTAATAGAACACAAAGAATGAAAAAAAAAAAAAGTTAGGTATTTATTATTTTATTTTACAGCTATTCACAAAGGATCAGGAGGGGACCAAAATCTGACATTTAGTCCAAATTTCTACAGCAAGTGCGATATAATCATGTCAATAGAATTTTATTTAATCAAGGATTCATCTGCTAGTATTACTGTGTACATGACAATATAAAAAAGAAAAAAAATAATCACAATCTTTTCCCTAGAGCGGAATTCTCCCTGCACCCTCTACTTACTATGTACATAACCCCTGCAGACCTACACATAACATATTGCTCCATGTGTGTGTCACATTGTGTCAGCGTAAAAGTAATGTTTACTTTCCAGCATGTTAAGCTATTAACAACAAGATGTCTACAACTGATAAAATCACAATACAAAGAAATGCATCACAGCTGAAACAATCTATTTATTGCCTAATCACAGCAAAAATATTCATAAGGGTTTCAAGGCTTCCTGACAAATTTTGAGGGTGATGGAGGCAAACTTGATGCTCATTAAAAATGTCACATGAGTTAACATCCCCTACATGACAAAATTCTTACAACATTCCTTCCTGTACCTTTACATAATCTTTTCGGTCACAGAACAATTCTTTAAAGCTGAAATATTGGCGCCATCATTTAAATGGTTTAAAAAGATTTGTAGATGGTTGCTTCCCCCATGTTGTAATTCCTTGTTTCTTTTCTTCATACAGCTAAAAGTTTTTGCTGTGGTTGTGCTGGATAGTACACCTCCACCCCCGCTGATACCAACATTGAAAGTGTGATAGACATCGGGGCTGGCGTCATGTCATTATCTCCATCTACACTTACCTATTCATGAAATGCACAGCCACAGTCACATAACAGACAGCAGGTTGTGGATGAGCAAAGAAAGGGCAGAGTGCAAATATGACACCAGAGTGATGAACGTACAGCGGGAGATTACTATCTGACAGTAACTAAACTGTAGGAAGAAAAAAAAAAAAATAGCTACACCAATCTAAAGTTATTCAGATGATGGCGCCATAGCGAGTGCAGGTTTTTTTTTTTTTGGTTAGAAAATTATTACATTTACAATAATAAAGAGGTTTTCCAGCTTTTAATAAAGTGTCTACTAGTTTTCAAAATCCCCACAGAAGGAATGGCCAGAGTTACACCTAAGACCACATTTCTAAAACACTTTCCCCCCCATCAAGAGTGAAGAGTGGAGAACTATTCTGATACTCTTCAGCACCTTCCTCCACAATTCTGGTCACACAGGGGCAGATGTATGAACTGGTGTTTTTAATAAAAGGGGTAAGAAAGATGGATTCCACACTGGGAGGTGGGACGTGGTCATAAATTGGAGGGTGAATAGAACCTGCAGATATATTTACTACCGAGGGCAGAATACTTCAGGGCTATAACAGGAATCTGGCTTTATATCATATAAGATATCTGAAGCAGAAGATTAATAGTGCAAGTGAATCATTACCAGCTTCTGTGAGGATAATATACTACTCGGTCCAGATGTAGTAGCAGAAATTACAACTGGGGTGCTCCCATCATCCTTAGACTGGGAAATACCTGATGGACCAAAGTGAGATCTAAACTAAAATGGGAAAAAAAAAACTATATAAATCTATTTAACAAAGCAGTACCACAATTACAATAACAGATACAATCAAATTGATGAAAATAAAGTAAAATAAATTAAATATTCAATAGTTCATTCTTAGTGAATGGGAATATAGTATACAACTAAAGGTTCAATCCAATATAGATTAATATTGTCCAGCCCTAAAATCCATCTCCATCACACAAACTGTCAAATGACAGACCCCTACTGCCCATCGATGTTCTCACAACAGTTAAAGTAATGCAAAGGGGAAGGGTAGAACATAATCTCAATGTGGGTAGATGTTGGAACCCCATGTACAGCCTAGATCTTTCTTTTTTTTTTTTTTTTTTTTAAAACAGATACAGATTACTTTTGGTTATACTTAATAACCACTATTTTTTAACTAAAGACCAACAAAATTTGGAGGAAAAAAAAGCCTCACATTTTCTGTGTATGGCAACCAATCAGCTACGATCTTTCATTTTTAAAGCTTAAGTGAACAAGGTAGAAGATGATTGGTTGGCATGTACAGCTGCTCCAGAATCTGCCTCAGTTTTGATAAATTCCCCTATTAAATGTACAGGTCATACAAAGTAAGATCAGGAGGTCAAGGGTTTACAGGTCACATACAGAGGGAGGATGGAGATGATGTTGAAATGAACTTGAAGTTTGTAAACTTACCTTGTGTATATCTCCACACATTTACTTCCTTGAATGCTGTAATGCATTCACTATGCCCTATGAGCAGTCACTGCTGTGTCACTGATTTCACTGATCGCTTGGTTTTCAGTGAGCAGAGAAAAGGTGACTGTCAGACACCGGCTCTCTGCAGTGCCTCTTCAGAGCTCACAAGAGCTCTGGGCTGTGGAGGGGCAGGATGGCTTGCTCAGGCTCTCAGCAGTGCACTGAGAGGCTGAACCAGCTGACAGTCAGGTATCTGGGTGGATCCCAACATTAAAGTCGGGATCCCTCCAGAAGCCTAGAATAGCTGAGTGACATCAACTGATAGCGGTCTTTAGCCTGCTGTCGGCTGAATTTGGGTCACAGGGGTGCAGAACTAAGTGCATTACTCATGTGACCCACAGGAAAAGTAGGGCCAAAAGAGCTTTAATTGCTGTGTATCATCTAATGTACAGATGTGCAGGATAAGCGAGGTGTTGGGTTCATATACAGGTAAGATGAGACAAAATGGAGGTGACATATACTGCAGAGGGGTGGATTTTAATTATTATTGCACTGGTACTGGCAGGTTGTTCTCTTTCCTCTCACACACAAAGGACTTCATGATTACTAACTAGAAAGTGAGACACAACTGCTAGTGGCAGCCTGTGTATACACGGTTGTGATTGGATTTGCCTGTGATTCGCTGTGTCCAGTCACAGCGCACTCAAAAGGTGCACAGTTCATGGGAGGACCTATTGGGATGTCCCTCCTGAATATAAAGAAGAGGGCAGGAGAGCAGATCAAGCATATATACCCCGTTGGCAGTCCATTCTTTTTAAATAGTAACTCCACTTTTTTTGTGAAAAAAAAACCAATCGCTTCTGGGTGAAAAAAATATACATTGTATTGTTTCCTACTGTTTTTTCTCTGAAGAAAAAACAGATTGCTCTTCTATGTTGTTTGGATACGGATTCTGAATGGGAGTGACTTTTTCATTATTGTTCAGCTAATGTACCTGCAATGTTTTAATAAGATGAGTGATGTTGTCTTATATTAATGAAGAGGACGGAAGTCCACACAGAAACAATTCATAAGACAAATCTGTTGACTTATAGTAATGTGGAGGGATGACGATAATTAGATAAACAAGTTACCCTTTGAAGAATTTACCATACTTAATACCCCTTTTCATGTTATTAGATAGTAGTCCTTTCAAGTCTGACTGAGCTATCTGCATTTTATCACCCTTGCAAGTTTGCAAATTACCTCCTTTGATAGGTAACAAGTTGGCCCCTGAGTGCCCAGGTGATCTTGCATAAAATTAACATAGCAAAGAGTCCTCGGCTATCCTTATGATGTGTAAAATCTGGCCTGAGAACACCACATACAGTGTGTGTGTGTATATATATATATATATATATATACACACACACACACACACACACACACACACACACACACACATACATGCATACATACATACACAAAAACATTTTTTACATTTATTTATTCTTCTTTATTTCAGGTACTTATATAGCACCTTCAATTTACGCAGTGCTTTACATATATATTGTACATTCACATCAGTCACTAGCCCTCAAGGGGCGTACAATCTAAGGTCCCTACCCTACATTCATACATACTAGGGACAATTTAAAAAGTATCCTTATATATATATATATATATACACACACATATACACATACACACATATATATACACACACACACACACACACACACACACACACACACACACACACACACACACAATATTCCTGCAAGTGGCAGGTCTGCGTTCTTTTGGAAATGATTAACCCTTTAGGAGCATCTCTCCTTAAATCAAATTTTTGTTGCAGAGGATTCCTAAAATCTGACTTGTATCTTAGTGATTTCTATAGAATAACATACATAAAATATGTTAAATAGACATATAATCTATCTGTAAAAGCCTGCCTTGTGTAGAAATCCTAAAGACCTGAGACTGCTGCTGGGTGCCACCATCTTGGATGTAATATCAGCAGCTCCAGCAGAATCAGAGATGTCACTCCAGCTATAGTATTCCCCTTTCCTCCTTCCTTGGCAGATAAATAAAAAGTTATTCAGGGAGGAGGGAGAGAATGGAGGACCATGGCTAGCACATATAGCACTTACCAGATACTTTTGGAAAAAGAGAGGGCTATGAAGTGGAGGGAGGTGCTTGTGCTAGGGAACAGACTAGTGGATTTTGTTTTTTTAGAACGTTCAAAAGGCACATTACAAGTGAATAAAAAATTATCAATGGAAAGGCAAACATGGAGTAAGAATTTAATAGGTCTGTGCGTTTACCTGCATTTTTTAAGTTGGCGACAGGATTTCTTTAAACCATACAGGCAAATAGAAACCTGGGATTATTCTGTGCCTTATGAATGGGGGTGATGTTTGAAGACCTGAAAATGTTGCTTTCAGAAGCACTACAGTCAACTATAAAAGTATAATGCAGATAATCACACCAAATGTTCAGTAAGTAGGTTATGTTAGAAAGTGTCTAATTCCTAAGGTAATATACATAAATGCATACATTTTCAAGTGCGTCTTGTGAAGCTGTGAACAAGCCTGAAGAGGCTCCTGATGAAACCACCTAATCCAAGTAGTGAAGGGCGATAGGAAGTCTCTATATACACAGCAATGATTTCTGGAAGCATCCCGATCTGCTTTAGTGTAGACGATAGTGGCTTCATTGGCTGGTGAGAGCATATCCTGCCCTTGGGCTCCCACAAAGCTACCACCATTACATTATGGTAAATGAATATAAAATTAAAGTCCATCTATGGTCAAGATTTAAAATCCTATTCCACTCTGCATTTCAACTAATTTTAGCCTACTCCTATTAATTGAAATGAAGTTTGAAAACTTACCTTGTGTATATCTCCACACATTTACTTCCTTGAATGCTGTAATGCATTCACTATGCCCTATGAGCAGTCACTGTGTGTCACTGATTTCACTGATCGCTTGGTATTCAGTGAGCAGAGAAACGGTGACTGTCAGACTCCGGCTCTCTGCAGTGCTTCTTCAGAGCTCACAGGAGCTCTGGGCTGTGGAGTGGTGGGAATGGCTGGCTCAGGCTCTCAGCAGTGCACTGAGAGGCTGAACCAGCTGACGGTCAGGCATCTGGGTGGATCCCAACATTAAAGTCGGGATCCATCCATCCAGAGCCTAGAATAGCTGAGTGACATCAACTGACAGCGGACTTTAGCCTGCTGTTGGCTGAATTTGGTCACAGGGGTGCAGAACTAAGTGCATTACTCATGTGACCCTCAGGAAAAGTAGGGCCAAAAGAGCTTTACGCTTCCTTTAATTGCTGTGACCATATACCTCTTTTAAATATATGAGCACATTATATGTTATGAAAATGTAACCAGTCAGAAGCCTTCCACTCACATTTTGGTCAGAAGGTGAAGGGCCAGCTGGAGAGTGGACAGGTAAAGGAACATCATGTTGAGAGGAGATTAGAGGAGCAGAGGCTGGTGGTTGCTGAAATGTTACAGAAGGATTAGAGCCAAGGTCGTCCCTCCTTGATGGAAGATCTGCTGGATAAGGATATACTGTTAACTACAGAAATAAAACTGAAATATCCAGAAATCAAACACTGGGATTCGAAATCTAACATTTCTCCAATTCTTTAGTAAAACTGACCCCAAGCAGCAGAGTAAATAAAAAAAAAAAAGAAAAGAAAAAAGTGAAAACATATTTAAATGCATCAGCATTATGCAAAGAAAAAATGTGGGTCTGCAGGAGTACCAAGAAATAACACACAGAATGAAAGGAGTGTGAAGATGTGTTTTCATAGATGTGTAAATGTCTTAGTTCTTACATTTTCTTTCCATACTGTGCGAAGTATCAGGCTGCTAGTGCTGGAGGTATAGTATGTAGTTGGTGTTACAGTGTCACCTGCTGGTCAGCTTGTTAACACACTTTCATTACAGTGGAACTTTTCCCATAACAACTTGATAAAAATAATGTTCATTAGCAAGGAACATACATCCCACATTAAAAATTCAGCAATAAAAATTAGTGTGTGCTGTAAATTGTCTGCAGCATTGTGTCTGTTCCTTCTTGCCAGAGGCTGCCATTTTGCCACAGCCTAGAGATCTCTGAGCAGCAGTAAATCTTTTAGGCTGTCAGCAGATCGGCCTCTACAGCACAGTGTCAAAAAGAGAGCAACTGAGCATATGCAGAGCAGTGTGACGGTGTATTAGTGGATTGCAAACAGTATAGGCATTTAATTTGTAATGAACAAAGAACCAGCCTGAAGTGATCTAGGACTTAATTTTTGGACTAAAATTCCTCTTTAATGGGGTGTAGGTCTGGATTAAATTGAAGAGTCACACACACAGGCCTTTGGTATATGAATAGTAGTACAGCACAGTGGCTAAATGGTTAGCACTTCAGCCTCGCAGTACTAGGGTTGTTGGTTCGAATCCCAACCACGGCACCTCCTGCCTGGAGTATGCATGTTCTCCCTGTGCCTGCATGGGTTTCCTTTGGGTACTCCGGTTTCCTCCCACACTCCAAAGACATGCTGGTAGGTTAATTGGCTCCTGTCTAAATTGGCCCTAGTATGTGTATGTATGAATGTGAGTTAGGGACCTTAGATTGTACGCCCCTTGAGGGTCAGGGACTGATGTGAATCTACCTAATTTATATTTGTAAAGCACTGCGTAAATGGATGGCGCTATATAAGTACCTGAAATAAATAAAATAAATAAATAGTACCCTGGAGCATGCTGAACACAAGGCCATGACACCATTCATTCAGCTTCACTGTAGCATATACAGTTAGGTCCATATATATTTGGACATAGGCACAATTTTAGTTGTTTCAGGTATTTCCAAAACATATTCAAGCTATAGTTATATAATGGATATGGGCTGAAAGTGCACACTCGCAGGTTTAATTTGAGGGTATGTACATCCAAATTGGAGGAAGGGTTTAGGAATTACAGTTCTTAAGAATAGCCATCTGCCCTTTTTCAAGGGACCAAAAATAATTGGACAATTGAATCAAAAGCTGTTTCATGGCCAGGTGCGGGCTACTCCTTTGTAATTTCTTCATCAATTAAGCAGGTAAAAGGTCTGGAGTTGATTCTAAGTGTAGTATTTGCATTTGGAATTAATTGCTGTGAACCTAAATAATGCGTACAAAGGAGCTGTCCATGCAAGAGAAACAGGTCATTGTAAGGCTTCAAAAATGAAACAAATCCATCAGAGAGATAGCAGCAACATTAGGAGTGGCCAAATCAACAGTTTGGTACATTTTGAGGAAAGAAGAACACACTGGTGAACTCAGCAACATAAAAAGGCATGGACATCCATGGAAGACAACAGTGGTGGATGATCGCAGGATCCTCTCTGTGGTAAAGAAAAACACATTCACAACATCCAGACAAGTGAAGGACACTCTCCAGGAGGTGGGCAAATCATTGTCAAAGTCTAAAATCAAGAGAAGACTTCACAAGAGCAAATACAGAGGGTTCACCACAAGGTGCAAACAATTCATTAGCCTGAAGAATAGAAAAGCAAGATTAGACTTTGCCAAAAAAAAAAATCTAAAAAAGCCAAACCAGTTCGGGAAAAGCATTCTTCAGCCAAATGTAGCAGAGTTGATTGGACAGCGCTTCACAGTACCGATAGACAATGATCCAAAACACACTGCAAAAGCAACCCAGGAGCTTTTGAAGGAAAAGAAGTGGAATATATTCTGCAATGGCCGAGTCAATCACCTGATCTCAACCCAATTGAGCATGCATTACACTTGCTGAAGGCAAAACTAAAAGGCAGAAAAACCACAAAGAACACCTGAAGACAGCTGCAGTTAGAGCCTGGCAAAGCAGCAGAAAGGAGGAAACCCAGTCTTTGTAATGTCCATGGGTTCCAGACTTCAGGCAGTCATTGCCAGTAAAAGATTCTCAACAAAATATTAAAAATTAACATTTTATTTATGACTATATTCATTTGTCCAATTACATTTGAGCCCCTGAAAATGGAGGGACTGTGTATAAAAATGCTTGCAGGTCTTAAAATTTGTACTTGATACTTATGTTCAGCCCTAGAATTTAAGCTGAAAGTCTGCACTTCAAATTCATTTGCATTGTTTCATTTTAATTTATTCTGGTGGCATACAGAAAATTGTGCCTGTGCCCAAATATATATGGACCTAACTGTATAAACAGTAAAAGAAGAGTGTGATTACATTGGGGACTGCAGAGATTTTGAGACCTGGATGAAGGATTCTAATGTATTTCCTGTGAAATACCTGAGGTTTGTGTACAAAATACATACCAGACTACCTTGCAGGTGGCACAGCAACACAGTGGCCCTAGTCCTGTCTTTTAGAACTGAAATCCAAGAACATACAGTACATAGTGTACTTGGTCCATGCAATGTGTATTTGTGGGATTTAGACACATTGGAGTGAATTTGCTAAACCTGGAGTGCAAAAACTGGTGCAGCTCTGCATAGAAACCACGTTTTTAATCAAAGCTTAAAGGGTAACTCCACTTTAGTGGGAAAAAAATTAGCAAATAAAAAAAAAAATACAGCATATACAATTGTGACTCAAGTTATATTGCAACTGAATGTTATTAAAAATAACCTTTCATTTTCAATGTGCAGTGCTGTCATTTTTAATATGGCTACCTGGAGGCATTCTGTACACAGATGATGTACAGAACTCCCTCTGAAAATGTAATTTACTGCTTGTGTGGTTGGCTTACGGATTTCCCCAGAAGTCTGCACTAAAATACAAGTCAGATTTTTGTCATCCCCTGCAACAAAAATGTAATTTTTGGTCAGATACTCACAAAGAGAAATCATGTCCAAAGGGATGCAGTCCCTGCCACATTCCTCATTAGAACCCTGCAGGTGCATCAAATGATTGCTAGTTATAAAACCAATCCCATACAGCTTCACTTTGCACATGGACAAACAATCGGCTATTTCTTCAGAATAACAAAAAGTTAGGAATCTGCAACGTTTGTTAAAATTCTTGCAATGTACACCAATCATTCAGAGGGGAATGGTTTTTTTTTGGTCTCAACAAAAGTGGAGTTACCCCCTGGTCACAGGCTCTGAGGAAGAGGCAAATCCTCGCAGCGCGTCAGCCTATTGGATGTCTACACTCCCTATTGCGGAATGTTACTCAGCGCGGTGTTGACCAAGCTGTTCTTTTATGACGTGCCTTGACTTTATTGTTGTTTGTGAGTACAACACCTACTTTATTTCTTATTAAATATTTTTTATGGTAGTGCACTAGGCCTGTGCGCCCTCTGTTTGTTCTTTCCTCGTTCAATATATTTGGATTTCCCCGGTCCATTTGAGGGCAGCAAGGTGTGCATGTTCCAGGACATTCTTAATGTGGTTGTAGCATCGAGTCCATCCCCAAGCGCAGGAGCATTTGCGTTTGCTGGTGCCCTGCAGGTGCATCAACTGATTGCTAGTTATAAAACCACTGCCATACAGATTCACTTTGCACATGGACAAACAATCAGCTAGTTCTTCAGAATAACAAAAAGGTAGGAATCCGCAACAACGTTTGTTAAAATTCTTGCAATGTATACCGATCATTCAGAGGGGAATGTTTTTTTTGTCTCACCAAAAGTGGAGTTCCCCCTGGTCACATCAAGCCCAACTTTGATTTTTCAAAGTCGGGTGAGATGCCGATTTTAGGTGCGATTTGCAAGACATCTGATACAGGTGCCTATGCAAATCGCACCAAAGTAGTACATGTACTACTTTAGAAATCGGTGTGGCTCAGATCAAGTCAAAACCGCACCTATTTGACCGCTGTAATTGCGGACAATAGGGTGGGACTTGGCATACGATTTGCAAGTCACATAGCATGCAAATCGCATACCAAGTTGCACCAGATGTGACCGGGGTGTTACTCTTTAATAGACCAAGTTGAAGTTAGAAGTTGATCGGCTATCATGCAGAGCTGCACCAGATTTTGCACTCTCCAGTTTTAGTAAGTCAATCCCCTTGGATTATAAATTCTTCTGGGGCACATGGGACATAGCTTATTGGTAATAAGAAGTGCTCCAAAAACTAACTTCTAATGGGTATCCATTCAAAGTTTGCAAAATATAGCCTTTCACTTTTTCCTTTCTCTTTTCATTTTGAGAGTTAAGCTGGTATCAACAAATAGTCCTACCAGTTCACATTTTATTCAGTTGTCTCAAACATGAAAGGGCGTGTGTTTATTGGGAACCATCCCTATCATTAGCCATACATTATACGATTTTGTGCAGCATTCATTTAATTACTAACCGTGGCCCATGTGGATTTCCCGCTCTTGAAACATTGACATTGCCTCCATGTTTAACGCACAAACGCCCCGCATGAATGCTTTCTTCATTGTGCCTTCAAAGTGATCTCTTTCCTCAAGAAGTCGCTGTACTTCTGCTTTTGCATCTTCTATGGCTCCATTCAGCTGTAGTATGAGAAGCAGACAAACAAAATAAAGCAGCATCACAATTTCTTGGAAAGGGACATTTTAGAGAATGGAAAAAAATGAATACATGGTGCCTGTACTTCTAAAATGGGTAGATTGAATGAAATACCATTTTAGGATAAGGGTTACCTGTAACTGAAGAGTAGGAATGATTATAATAATCTACAACACACTGTTAGATATTATAAAACTCTAAACTCTACTGTTGCAAAAAGAGGAAATCAGTGCCTTCCCTCCTGTAGTAACAGACATAAAGCTGTGAGGGAGGGTGGAGGAAGCATATGTCAAACTTAGTTCTCTGAATATTGATGGTTTTAGTGTAATTTTGCAATATCTGGCTAACAGAAATAGTTTAGTCTAGTCCACTGACCCCTTAACCCTTTTTTTCCATATATGTAATTTTTGTAAATATTAATCAGTATACTACATACCTTTTTCCATGTGATTTCTGGCTGGTCAAGTGATGAGATGGGCCTCTCTCTTTTCTATCAGTGGGCAATCTTCAATTCTGTAGAGAATGGTGCTCACACAATGTCATGAAGTGCACCTGCAGAATTCTCGTGTGAGTCCAGACCAATGTGATGAGTGTATGTGCATTACACCCTGGATTTAAAGGCTGTGTTGAATGATGTTGGGCGTCATTCAACCCAGGAGGGGGAACGGTGTTTAGAATGAAGGAGGAAATTGTGGAAGCATTGTAGAGAGGACGGTGGGTAGTACCAGGCAACTTTTTTTAATTCTATAAAAATAATTTAAGCTGGAGATGGGTTCTAAAGGCAGGTTTTTACCTTAATGTATTCTATGCATTAAGATAAAAAACTTTCTGTGACTAGATCCCTCCCTAGCCCCCATTATACTTACCTCAGCCAGATCTTAATCCAGCAATGTGCATGAGAGCGGCAGCTCTCTCTCTCCTCACTGGACAGAGAGGCAGCAGCGGGAGCCAATAGTCCAAGCCAGTGAGGAGAAAGAGGGGGGCGGGCTGGGGCAGAGTTGCACTCTGTGTGTCAGTGGACACACAGAGCTGGCTCAGCAATAAGCATGCACAAGTGCCTCTATAATCAAGTGACTTTCAATGGAGGCACTCAGCAGGGGGGGAGAGGCCAGGAGCGCCATTGGGGTATCTCAGAAGAGGAGGATCTAGGCTGCTCTGTGCAAAACCACTGCACACAGCAGCTAAGTATGACATGTTTATAATTTTTTAAAATCTGAATGTTTACAAATCACTTTAACCTAGCCTCATACAGCTGCCAGGGATGTATAGATAAAACAAGTGAATTGTCGTTCATTTTAAATAAAAACCTTTAGAGTACTGAAGGAAATAAATAATGCAACTCTCCAAAAAATAAATAAAAGCCTATTTTTTCTTACCCTCCTCCCCAGTGCGTTTATTTTCAAAAATGCATGCACAGTGTTTTCCATGTATTCCAATAGCCCAAGTTCACACCAGTGCAGTCAGTTCCAGTGTGTTCCAGTGCAGACAAAAAAAAAAAATAAAGAACATTTTTTCTGCACAGAACTGTAGTGGAACATGGCAGAAAGCATCAAAAATGCACTGGAGTTTTTGTGGCGTGAACTGGCGCGAAGATCATACTATTGGGCACAAAATCACAGCTGCACCAAACCTGTGAACAAAGGTCTATCTGAGAGTTGACAATTGGACACAACTGGTAGTTCCAGAAGGCAAACCTATCTGCTAAAGTACCTAGAACATTTAGGAACCCTCCATGTGGTTCAATTTGCCAGCAACCAGACAAAACTGAAATATTAGTTTTCAATTGATTTAGTGTTCGTTACCTGTGCAACCTTCGCTTCATAGTCAATAGACAACTGAATGCACACTTCTTCAGCTCGGGCTCGACATGCCTGCTCCACCTTGTCTTTCCAATTTACTTCAATAGCCGAGTGCCAGGTTCTCCAGCTATTCTTTAGCAATACCTTTCTGTAATGTCTATCAGCCAGACTGCATGCATAATCCTAAAATTATGGATGTTTAATATTAGATAATCAGATCAAAGAAAACGATAGACAACTCTGAGATTTGTTCTAAATAAGTCCCCACCACACACTTTCAACACATCTTAATCCAAAATAAAATACTAATCCCTAAACCTTTTTCAGCATGCTGAACTAAAAGCTGCATGCATCAGCAGATGTCTTCTGAAACAAGCAAACATCTCTTCACTTCTGTTTTCAGGTGTAACTGGTACCAACAGGGGGCTAGTTATGAAAGAGGAACACAAATAGTGCTGCTGCCCATAATGACCATTTTTTTTAGTTTTTATTTTCTGGCAAAACAGAAAAAAAACAAAAAAAAGAAAGAAGAAAGAAGAAGAAAGAAAGAAGAAGAAGAAGAAGAAAAAGAAGAAAGAAGAAGAAGAAGGAAGAAAGAAGGAAGAAGAAGAAGGAAGAGGGAAGAAGGAAGAAGGAAGAGAAGAAGGAGGAAGGAAGAAGGAGGAAGGAAGAAGAAGTCTGATGTTATGGGTAAGAGCTCTAGTTTTCTTCCCATTTTCTTTTCCACCTCCTTTACTATACACCCTTTTAAAAAATATTCTTCTACATCTGCTGCTCTGCTAGCTAGGCTATAGCTCAGCATGAGCAAAAATCGCAATGGTTTAAAGTTTAACATCATCCAAATGAAGGCATGTGTGTTTACTGATTAAAGTACGGTCTTCTCTGCAGCCTCCCCTATATAGAATGATGCATGAGAGGGAACGTGTACAGCACAAAATCAAACTGAATGACTCATATTAACTAAGGCACAGAGAGAAGGCAATGTGCAACTCATACCCGTTTCTGAAGTCAACTTAAAAAAGATACATTTGCAACTGAGTGATAACGCTCTTCAGCAGTAATTTGGAAAGCAGCATTCTGTATAGCAATGTTTCCCATTTCCTGTCCTCAAAAACTTGCAACAACTCACTTTCCATACTACTGGGCAGTGGCAATGTCATGTTGACTGGTCACAGGGTAAAAGAAAGCTATATTATTTAAATCAAAGATTGTGCATAGGAAATAGGGGACATTTATCAAGCAAATTAGATACACAATTTGTGGCAAACCAGGATGTATCTCCTTCAGCAAAGTTTTTGCAAAAGGTTTACAAACCTGTGTTTTTGTATTTAGAGGCAACCAACTGCGACAGTTTGCAAAGTTTAAAGACAAATTTACTACTGAAGATGAGACAGAATTCTACATTAAACAGACACAGAATTACGAAGTGGCGAGGTTTCATTCAGTCACAAGTGCTACAGTGCCTTGAAAAAGTATTCATATCCCTTTAAATTTTCCACATTTTGTCAAAAGCAAAAACGTAAATGTATTTTATTGAGATTCTATGTGATAGACCAACACAAAGTGGCACATAATTGTGAAGTGGAAGGAAAATGATAAATGTTTTTCAAAATTTTTTACAAATAAATATATGAAAAGTGTGGCATGCATTTGTATTTAGCCCCCTTTACTCTGATACCCCTAACTAAAATCTAGTGGAACCAACTTCCTTCAGGAGTCACCTAATTAGTAAATAGATTCTACCTGTGTGTCATTTAATCTCAGTATAAATAAAACTGTTCTGTGAAGCCCTCAGAGGTTTGTTACAGAGCATTAGTGAACAAACAGCATCATGAAGGCCAAGGAACAGACCAGACAGGTCAGGGATAAAGTTATGGAAATATTTAACACAGGTGTAGATTATATAAAAAAATATCCCAAGCTTTGAACATCTCATGGAGCACTGTTAAATCCATCATCCGAAAATGGAAAAAGTATGGCACAACTGCAAACCTACCAAGACATGGCCGTCCACCTAAAATGACAGGCTGGGCAAGGAGAGCATTAATCAGAGAAGCAGCCAAGAGGCCCATGGTAACTCTGGAGCTGCAGAGATCCACAGCTCAAGTGGGAGAATCTGTCCACAGGACAACTATTAGTCGTGCACTCCACAAATCTGGCCTTTATGGAAGAGTGACAAGAAGAATGCCATTGTTGAAAGAAAGCCATAAGAAGTCCCGTTTGCATTTTGTGAAAAGCCATGTGGGGGACACAGCATACATGTGGAAGAAGGTGCTCTGGTCAGAGTAGAACTTTTTGGCCTAAAAGCAAAACGCTATGTGTGGCAGAAAATTAACACTGCACATCACCCTGAACACACCATCCCCAAACGTGAAACATGGTGGTGGCAGCATCATGTTGTGGGGATGCTTTTCTTCAGCAGGGGACCGGGAAGCTGGTCAGAGTTGATGGGAAGATGGATGGAGCCAAATACAGGGCAATCTTAGAAGAAAATCTGTTAGAGTCTGCAAAAGACTTGAGACTGGGACAGAGGTTCACCTTCCAGCAGGACAACGATCCTAAACATACAGCCAGAGCTACAATGGAAAGGTTTAGATCAAAGCATATTCATGTGTTAGAATGGCTCAGTCAAAGCCCAGACCTAAATCCAGTTGAGAATCTGGGGCAAGACTTGAAAATTGCTGTTCACAGACGCTCTCCATCCAATCTGACAGCTTGAGCTCTTTTGCAAAGAATAGGCAAAAATTCACTTCGCAATTATGTGCCACTTTGTGTTGGCCTATCACATAAAATCCCAATAAAATACATTTACGTTTTTGGTTATAACATGACAAAATGTGGAAAATTTCAAGGGGTATGAATACTTTTTCAAGGCACTGTACCTTAGAGCAAGTTAAGGAGGAATTTATAATTTAGGATTAAACCTTGTAATAAATCTGTCTCACTAAGTATCTCACTGCTGTTTAACACTGTTTTGCATAGTGACAGGATTGGTAAATGTCCTCCAGGGAGTTAGGACTCCTAAGTGGCCCCTGGAGACCACTCCACACAGAAAGAACTAATCACCTTACATTAGGCTTACACTCCTATGGAGGGAACTATATTAATTCTTATTATGTGGCTTTGTTTTATCATCTGTAATCTTTAGGGGTTTTGTTTTAGCTCCACTAGTGTCTTGATAAATGCAATTCATAGTTCTAATTTTGAGCAAAGCTTGTAATAAGAATAAAAAAAGAGTGACAAATCTGGAGTGCCTCATGTGCTGCTGTCTGTGTGACACGAGGACACATACTGGCGCTCGTTAGAGTCTTGTGAGGTTGGGCCAGTATCTCACTTTCTCTCATTCTTGTGGAGAAAACTGCACATCTACGGCAATCTAAAGATTATTACAGAATAGGTAAATACACATCAAAATGCATATATGCAAACGGTTTTACCTCATTTAGTATACTGCTTATGTCACACAAAAATTGGGATTCTTGCCCCATGACTCCCCAATTGCAGTGCAAATTTCCAGTTTGGGAAAGGAAGCCCAAGTAAACTAGTAGATGGGTCCCTCAAACTGTATTTTACCAATGCTGCGCAGCAAATGAAATAGTGAGAAATCACCAGCAGGGTGGAATCCATTCCCTAGTTGGATTTCTGAGCTCTATTGACACGGCTTATGCCTGTCTGCAATTCCATTGGAGGAAAAAGGAAAGGCGATTCAGGCTGACAGACACTGGTTTGGATGGCAAGGAGGGAGAAAGCTGCCTTCTGTGATCAGACTGTTGGCAGTGTACCCTGCAGTCCTTATTTCTGCTGAGTTCTGAATACACTGGGTGCAGTGTAGCCTCACACTGGAAGGTCAGCCCTTCATTGTAAAAGATGGTGGATGACGCAGTATTCCTTATAGTTGGATGAACGATTTGTTCAGAGACTTTTCTTATATCACGTTTTTGTTTGTGAATACATTATCACTCTGGTCACTTTTTTTTGCAATAATCCTTTCTTATGAATATATAAAAGTTGGCGATTATGAGTTTATGTTATTTGAAATGGATATTATCTTTTTAAAAATAAAATATTCATTTTTGATTTATTTGAATTAAAGGGATTTAATTGCTCCGGCTCTGCAAAGTTATACTAGCACAGTTTTAAAAATACTGAAGGCTTTTTTTATTGGGTATACGATGGAAGTAAAGGGTATTCTTTTTTTGCCTGTAGCTATCTCTAATCATGTCTCCTGTAATCACCTGGAACAAGCCACTCGCTTTAGTCTTCTGAATATACTGCTGGATGTAGAACAATGATTCACACAGTATAGCGTATATGATTCACATGTCTTGGTCTTTACCTCTTGTCTGGCTTCTATCTGCTGAAGCCGCCAGTGGGTAAACGCTCGCATGAGCTCGATCTTTTCCTTGTGCTTCTCCAGTGCATGGGTCAGGTTAGAAATGACCTGAGGGGAAAAGAACATCATATTCTGAATTCTGTGTGATGTGAGAGTCAACAGTAAATATTTTCATGCACATCAGAGCTGGGAAAAAAACAAAAAAACAAAAACAGAAAAAAAAAAAAAAAACTACATTGCCAGCTTTCCGTCATTACAACATAATTATCTCACATAGGAGACCTGCCACTGCAGTGAAATTGAACCAATTCTCCTGAAAAGGACATACAGTACATTATAAGGCCAAGCATTTTTGGACATTTGACCATCAGGCTGACTATGTGGCAAAAAGTATGTGGACCTCCAAATTATTCCATTGAGAAATACTGTGCATACTACAGCATAAAAACATTTTAGACAAATGTGTGCTTCCAATCTTGAAGCAACAGTCTTGAGAAGGTCTTTTTCTGTTCCAGCCTGACTATGTCCTTTTGTACACAGCTAGCTCGTGGTTTGATGAATGGCCTGCACAGAGACATAAACTTAGCCCTACTGAACATCTTTGGGATGAATTGAAATGCCAATTACGAGCCAAGTCCAACATCAGTACTTGACCTCACAAATGCTCTTTTGGCTGAACAAGCACAAATTCCCATATATACTCCAAATTCTTATGGATAGCCTTCCTACAAAAGTGAAGGCTGTTATAACCAAGAAGGGAGGTCAACTCTGTAGCAATACTTTAGAAATGGGATGTTCAACAAACACAGATGCAGTAGGTGTCATGGCCAGGTGTCCACAAAAGTTTGGCCACATGGGATAGGGAATTCCATAGAATGGGAGAGACTCAAAAAAACAACATCTTGGAGGGGAGCATGGGAGGAGGTGACAAGGGAGCTAGAGATCAGGAGGTCTTGGGAGGAACGAAGAGAACAATTTGGTTGATATTGTGAGATTAGGGTAATGGGGGCCAAGTTTTGGATGGCTTCTTAAGTTGTTAGTATTTTGAATTGAATCTACCCAAAAAAATAACTATACAATCAGTGAAGCAGTAAGTACTGGCCTCCATAGTTGTTCCAGGCCCAAGGAATGAGGACGTAAGACTAGAAACATGCAGGTTTTAAAACAAGGTCAACAACAGGTTCCCCATTAAAGGCTGCAGAAGGCAACATTTCATAGCTGCTGGTAACGTGACTGTGGGCTCTGTGCAGTGACAGATGAATTATATGCTCTTCAAAATTCCACAATGCACATGGCTCTATTTCTGTACTGATACATAAATCAGCTGAATATCTAAGGTTGCAACCTGTAACAAAGCACATTTTAAATGGAATATTTTGCTGCTGAGCAGAAGCAAAACCAAGAGTACAGCTACCCAGAGACATGACTAGATTGCGGTTATTGAGTAATTACATTCATTATAATGAGCGGCTGATTGGAAAAACAAAAAATCATAATAAACCAAATGACTAGAGCAGTAGATAATTACAGACTGCAGAACATGACTCAGTTGATCAATCACCTCCAAAGCTCTGCCGCTGCTTATATGCACACTGTGCACCCACGCAGACAGCGGGAGCAACACACAAATGCAGACCAATCAGGACACATTACAAGCATCATTCAGTGTGTATGCAAAGAGCCAAGCTAAACTACAATAAACTATCCTCATTGCTAATAAATAAGATCTTTAAATGACTTATGTATGGTAATGTATACCAAAAACACTCTGCACATGTAATATATGAATGTCAGACAACATATACCAAAACAAGACCAGCATAAGTGAGTCTTTGCTCATTATTTTGCCAGCGCGGTAAACTCCTGCAAGTCAGTTGTTTTCATTGTTTGTACTTATAGCAACTGGCAAATTTAGCATACACAAAATCTGTAAAAATATATATGTCTTCAAAAGCTCAAGCCTAGGGAGTACATTGATCATACTTCAAGTAGTCACCAGTTCTTTAACCACTTCCAGATCGGACACTTTTACCCCCTTCCTGACCAGGGCAATTTTCAGCTTTCAGCGCTATCACACTTTGAATGACATTTGCGCGGTCATGCAACACTGTACCCAAATGAATTGTTTACCATTTTTTTGAGACAGATAAAGCTCTATTTTGGTGGTATTTATTCATCGCTGGGATTTTTTATTTTTTTTGCTATGTAAATGAAAAAGTCCAAAAATTTTGAAAAAAAGTGTTTTTTTAATAAAATTTTGCAAATAAATAATATTTCATCATACATCTTGGCCAAAATTTATTCCATTATCTTTTTAGTAAAAAAAAAAAAAAATTAGTTTATAACCAAAAATTATAATTTTTAAACATTTTTTTTATAGTATTTTTTTTTTTTTTTTTTTGACAGTGGTGACATGTACTACTTGTGGGGGGTGATGAAGATTTTTTTTTTTTTTTTTTTACACTGATTGCTTTTACATCCATATAGAATGTAAAAGCAATCATTTCTCTTTCTCTCTGTCTGCATTCTTGCACTCATTGAGAAGTACTGAGTGAGCTGTGATTGGTCACAGCTTGTCACATGGTACAAGGCTGTTGTGAATAGCCTTGTACCATGTGACCTCTGTGATCATTCACAGATTTCACACGTAGTAAGCAATGATGTCACAAGTGACATCTTGCTTTCTACTTTGCATGTGATCACTGATTGGCCAATCAGTGATCACATGATCGGGACCTTGTACAGAGGTCCCATCTGACGATCGGTGTTTCACTGTCTCCAGAGGACACAGCGGGCACCGGATCGCGGTGCTGCGCGCCCCCAGGGAGCGCGCACAAGCAGGGTGCGGGGAGGCCGTTTATAAACGGCCACCCGACCCTGCCGTGCCACCGTCCGGCCGTTTATGTGCAACGGCCGGTCAGGAAGTGGTTAAGGAAAACTAGAATTGTTTTAGGTCAGATTTGTTTTTCCTATGTGGTCTACAATTAGGGCTCATGTACACTGCAGCTGATAAACTCACATTTAGGAGCTGTTCAGTTTATTTCAGCAGCCCCTGAACTCACCCTAATGTTTTCCTATGTGTCCATGTACACATCTTCATTTACAGTTGTTTACAGGCATTTGAGTTTACAGTCGTTTCTTTTGAACGCAGAAAACTTGTGTTCAGCAGTTGATTTTATCAGCGTTTCAAACGCAAAATGCAGCTAAACACGGCAAATCACGTTTAAAAGCGTTTGCGTCTGAAATTTTTTTTTAACTCTTCCAGTTCCCGATGCTGTCCACAGCCTTTTTTCTTCATGAAAAATGCACGCAAAGCGTTTTCAAGGTACTCAGATGGACAAAACACTGAAAACAGGATGTTCCTACCAAGCTTGTCACACATTGTAATGACCAATTCACACCTCAGACCTCTCCTACCCTTGGAAACAAAAGATATGTTAATGACCATTCACACCTCAAACTCCTCATGAAGACCCCCTGCCAGGTGACCTTCCCACCTTGGAAACAAAAGAAATGTTAATGAGCAACCCACAGCTAATTTCAACATATACTGCTGTGTCTGCTTCTACTCTCTGTATTTCTCTGAAAAAGTCTGAAATAGTTAATAATTTACCACTTTTCAGTGCATTCTGGGCATCTGGGAAGTTCTCCTGTGCTTATCTTTAAAAAATGCTTCTAAACGCAAACGCACATAAACGCGTTATGCAAACGAGGCTAAACAGACGTTTTTAACCTACATTTTCCAGCAGTCAGTTTCCATCGTTCAGAAGTGTCCCGTGTACATGGGCTCTTAGCTGCTGCATTATACTTAGGAGTGGCACAAGGCACTATGTGGATAGGCAAACTAGCAGCTAGTTTGCTTATGAATCTGTTTCTTTTATTTTTAGGTCAGTGTTTAATGCAGTCTGCATTCAGAATCAGCTGACAGATAGGTGGCGCTGTCACATAAGTCAACAAGGCTGGAAAATAGACTATATGGACAGCACTTTTTTTCCCCTCTTTGGCTCATGATGATATATACCCTAAATGTTTGCAGCCGTGGTTGCCTCTATGATTAAGTCTTGCACAGTGCCTTAGTGGTTAGCTGCCTTGCAGTAAATGGGTCATGGGTTTGATTCCCGACCATGGCGCCTCCTGCATGGAGTTTGCATATTCTCCCTGTGCTTGCGTGGGTTTACTCCGGTTTCCTCCCACACTCCAAAGACATGCTGGTAGGTTAATTGGATCCTGTCTAAAATTGGCCCTAATATGTATATGTATGAATGTGAGTTAGGGACCTTAGATTGTACACCCCTTGAAGGTTAGGGACTGATGTGAATGTTCAATATATGTAAAGAGCTGCGTAAATTGACAGCGCTATAGAAGTACCTCAAATAAATGGGCGAAATGCATTAGGAGCATTCTTCTATGGGTGGAGAACTGAGCTGAATCCCATTATCATCACCTTTCACTATTTAGCTTTAAGGTTGGCTGATCCTGTGTGCAGCCAGGTGCCATTTTCTTGTAGTCGTAGCCAAGCCTGACAAGCCTTATAATATGACCAGCAGCTGCATACAGTGTCACCAACCACATGACTCACCTTCTGGAGCATTAGAGCAGTAGGTTTTAGTTTAGCCTACACACACTGATTGAAATGCTGAACCAGCTGAATTATGATCAGAATATAGCGAGTGTAAGTTCCATGTCAGCCTAGCCAGAACTTACACAGGGATAGAGACTCTCCCCAACAGTCTGGTTGGCAGGATACCCTCCACTACAATGTGGAATAAGAAGAGACAACACACACTCCATATACCTGGGAGTACAAGGTATTTTTCTTGGCTCCAGTAGTGCTGGCTACTATTTTTCTATTCATTTTCACATACAATTATAAAAAATCTTGGTAATGCTTAATCCTTTTAGAAATAAGGATACCTTATTTTTATATTCTGACACAAGTCACATATAAGATAACATATTACCAATTTATGCAGGAAAGGTAGCACAGTAATAAAGTGACACATATTTGTTAAATCACCAGGGTATATAGCATTACCGCAGATTTATAAGCAGAAACTAAACAACGATGACAAATTAGAATTCTCACTTTATCAATAAGTCCCAGGAGA